TCTTGGTGTATTTAGTATCTTAATTGTAGTCTTAAATATGGAAACACTGGACTAGATGGTCTCTTCATGCTCCTTTTATCCTTAGAGTTCAATGAATTTATGCTTTAAGACTTCATCTCTGTAAGGAAGCGCATTATGGTAAAGGAAAGAACCCCCCCTCCCCCCAAAAATGCTTCTTTTGGTCACTTAATGCACCTTAGGCCCAGTGTACAGTATGTTATTTGATTGAAGCATCTTTCCATATTTCTCCCTCCTGTCATTAACCTAGATATTATATCTAGAATGTAGACTAAACTCTTCATACCTACTAACCTTTGTGCATTTGGTTGCTCAGCTCTCTTAAGAGCATCATTTCAGAACTGAAGTAAAGTGAGTATCATTGTTTTTTAGAGATTATGTCATAGCTATTAATTGGAGGCGGATTCTTATAGCTTTGCTTTTTTCTTTTAAGGTTGAAGAGATGGTGCAGAACCACATGACTTATTCATTACAGGATGTAGGTGGAGATGCCAATTGGCAGTTGGTTGTAGAAGAAGGAGAAATGAAGGTAATTCTCAGTGAAAAGTTATAGGTTGCTAATTGCACCTCTATTCCAGTCATATTGTCGTCATTGATACGAATAAGGATAACATTAAAAATTACTTTTAAACACATTACTACATATGATCAAAGAAGCACCAGATATTGATAAATAAAATGTCCTTTTGCTTTCCTGGTTTAGCTTTTATATAATTTCTTTATGATCAAATCTATGCACAAACCATTCTGTTTTGCCTAAGCCATGGAGAAATAAAATTTTGTGGTTTAAATATGAACAGGCCACAATTAACTAATGGCTCTCTATTTGGATAGTTCTCTCTTTTAAAAAATATTTTTTAATTTACTGATTTTTGAGAGAGAGAAAGAATAAGGGGGGGGGGGCAACATCAATGTGTTGTTCCACTTATTGGTTGATTCTTGTATGTGCACTGACCAGGAATCGAACCAGGGATCGGGGACCCCTTGGTACATGGGACAATGCTCAGCCAACTGAGCCACACTGGCCAGGGCCATCTATATTTTTTAGGTTCCACGTATAAATGAAATCATACGGTATTTGTCTTTTTCTGTCTGATTTCACTGTTGAAAGCTAATTTGTTGTTCAGGAGTTTTATATAGACTATGTTGACCAGAATTATTCTAGCAAATGGGATGCAATATTAAGTGTTGGAATTTCCTCTCCTCCTGAATAGGGAACAAATCCTATATAATAAAGAGGTAATATACAAATTGACCATCATGCCCTCCCACAAGATGGCTGCCCCCATATGGGCACAACATGGCCGGCAGGGGAGGGCAATTGTGGGTGATCAGGCCTGGAGGGGAGGGCAGTTAGGGGCGACTAGACTGGCAGGGGACAGCAGTTGGGGGAGGGCAGTTGCGGGGGACCAAGCCAAAAGGGGAGAGCAGTTGGGGGCGACCGGACTGGCAGGGGAGGGCAGTTGGGGTGACCGGGCTGACAGGGGAGAGAAGTTGGGGGCCGTTTGCCCACAGCTGGGTTAGGGGGTGATCAGGCGGCCAGGCAGAAGTGATTAGAGGCAATCAGGCAGGTAGGTAGGCGAGCGGTTGGGAGCCAGCAGTCCTGGATTGTGGGAGGGATGTCCGACTGCCCGTTAACCTGCAGTCGGACATTCCCTGAGGGGTCCCAGATTGGAGAGGGTGCAGGTTGGGCTGAGGGACCCCCCCCCAACCCCCCAGTGCATGAGTTTCATGTACCGGGCCTCTAGTAAATAAGGTAGAAGAGACAGGCAAATGAGATACCAAAATGCTATAATTCTGATGATCTGATTGGATTACAACATGGAGACCAACTGTCACAATGTCTTGCTAATATGTACCTCTAAACATGTTTCTGAGATACCTGTATAATCAGAGGCCTTTCCCACAAGAGCAAGCCTTAAAAGCAGACCAGGATGCATGCTCTCTGCAGAAGGGGTTGAGCCACATCTGCCTAGTTCTCCCTCTGTACTCACTATGCAGATAAGTCATTGTTTCTCCCTTAGGGAAGTTCCAGGAAGCGAAGGGACTAAGTAGAAAATAAGTGCTTCTTCAACCCACAACATTAGAAAGAGAAATTAGGGCTGGATTATAATATAACCCACTAAAGAGAATAGTCAACCCTTTGTAGCATTAGGTAAGCCACTATGCAAAGTAGCATTTTCAGAAGAGTAAACTGATAGGGAAATAGCAAAAGACCAAGAAAACCACTTGAGAAAGTCAGGTACAAGATGTTGAAAGTCTACCTAAAAGAGTAACCATAGTAGAAAAATCAAGTTGTTTTTTATAGAAGATTGGTAATAATCTTAATAGCCTACATGAAGTATGAGAGAAAGAACCAAAAGTCTACAGAGTTCTATTTCAGATGACTCGGAAAATAGCAGACCCAATAGCAAATAAGTAAGTGTATAGGGAATGGAGTTGGGGGAGAGAGATTGTAAAAGAGAAAGTTCATGTGAAATACATAGTAGTATCTGGCTCCATGGGCACTCCATAAATTGAGAGCTGATTCTTCCTTTGGTAACATGTTTAATCACTTGTCAAAAGAACTTATTACAGGCCCTGGCCAGGTGGCTCAGTTGGTTGGGTGCATATGGGAAACAACCGATCCATGTCTCTTCTCTCTTTCTCTCTCTCTCCCTCCCTCTCATCATGTCTTCAGGTGAGGATTTAAAAAAGAACTTATTACAGAGTTCTCTAAAGTAGCAAGCCCACAATAATTTTGAAATAATTAGTTTTAATCAGCACTCTAGTACACAGCCTTATTATTTAAAGCAAGAGAGCATAGATCTTTATTACATTTTAGTTTTCAATCATTGATTCAGCAAATAGTTGCTTTACTGGGTTTCAGATATTATGCTAGATGCTGGGGATATATCAGTGAACACAGCCGCCTTAAATCAGTATCCTTAAAGAGATTATGTTTTAACCAGGTTTATTTGTCCTTCTTTGCCATGTTGAACAGTCTTTGAGAATGTTTAGTAAATAATGCCTGATTTAAATTGATACATTTATTTTTTAATAACTCACAGTAATTAGTCATTCATCATATATGCATATTTTTCATAGTTGAAATTTACCTTGGATTTGTAGTTTTAAATATTTTAATGTGTTAATAATTTAAAATTTTAAATTTAATTTTAACAGAATGTTTATGTTCCATAAAGAGATTTTCATAAATCCTAAAAAGCGGTTAAATTTGCAAACATGCTTTCAAATGTTTACTTTAGGATTTTTAAACAGATTTTTAATTATGTCCTGTATAGGTATATAGGAGAGAAGTAGAAGAAAATGGGATTGTTCTGGATCCTTTAAAAGCTACCCATGCAGTTAAAGGAGTTACAGGACACGAGGTCTGCAATTACTTCTGGAATGTTGATGTTCGCAATGATTGGGAAAGTAAGCTGCTATTATTAATGTATATTAATATAATTATTATTTAGAATTTAATATCAAACCCAATCTGATTTTCTTCATATGATCTTTAGTTTGCAAAGTCAATGTAGAAAATATCTGGAGAATCATATAGAGGACTGATAATACTTTATATTTAAATAAAGTTTTTCACACTATAAAAGGCTTTGCAGTATTTTTTAGCATTTGATTTAATACCTCAACAATTTTGCATAGACAGGTAATAAAGTAAAATTCAGATAGGTCAAGTGACTTGTCAAAGGCCACAGACCTAGTAGGTGTAAAAGCCAGGACTAAAACTAAGGTTTCTGTTTTATCTACTTTTCTCCTAGATTGTTTTGTTTCCCTGGTAAATCCTACATGAATCCTGCTGTGGTTTGTTTAGCTACTTTGGCAGGGGGTGTTTCCCTTAGACACCAGATTGCATAAATAGATACTTTTGAACATCGTAAGACGTATATCAATGAGTTTGACAATCTTTCAAGTAAATACAGTTACCTAAACCTAGATAGAGCAGTTTATTCAGCTTCAGTAAATTAGGGAGGGGTCATAGTGTTGGGGAATAATTTGTGCCTGAGTAATGCAGTGTTGATATAGAATCGCCTTCTTGCTATGGAAGCTAAATGTTGGATAAAGGAAAATGAGATTTCCTGGTGATCAGCTCCCACAGCCACCATCTATAGCCCTAATACTAGGTATTAACTACCTTCCATTTGAACTTAGCCCAAGTGGGGCAGAGTCCTGTTCATTCTACATATTACAATTTGTAATTGACTCTCAGTATAAGTGAATTAATCACCTTTTAGGAAAAAGCAATATGTCTTTTTGGCTACTAATATTTTCCCTTCATTTCAGCAACTATAGAAAACTTTCATGTGGTGGAAACATTAGCTGATAATGCAATCATCATTTATCAAACGCACAAGGTAAATGTTTCTTCATCCCTAAAGGATTTCACTATAATTCAAACTGAGACATATAAATTTTCTAAAATAAAATTTGACAGGAAATTAAACGCCAGAAAAGATCTAAAGGCTTTATTAACAATTCAGGAATGCAAATATTTTTCTAGCAGCTAGTCTATGGGAGATTGATAGTTATCGAATATGAAAGTGAATCATAGTTTCCTATGACATCAATATAATAAGGGAAGTGGAAAAGTATGTTATTTGCCTGTGTTAAGACTCATAGATATGAAAATGATCTTAAGTGGATTATCTAAAAACAATGAAAAGTTGCTGAGCATAACTACTGAGAAGTTGGTCATACACCAGAGCACACAGAAGCATTTGTCATTTAAATTGGTTCCCTTTTACTTCATTTCTTCCTTTGCTAATGTACATTTAAAGTTTTAGAATAATATTCATCTTACTTTATTCTACTCTCTTCCCCTTCTGAAAATTGCCAAATAGTATTTCGAATAAAGAATAATAAACTTGGAAGAGATCCACAAAAAGTAATATTATGTTATATAGGAAATATAATGATTCAATAAGTACTTCATTTTTTTTCAAGTGACTTTTATTTTTTTAATGTATCTTTATTGATTTCAGAGAGTAAGAGGGAAATAGAGATAAACATATCAATGATGAGAGAGAGAATCATTGCTTGGCTGCCTCCTGCACATCCCCTACTGGGGATCAAGCCCACAACCCAGGCATGTGCCCTTAACCGGAATCAATCCTGGGATTGATCTTTCAGTCCGCAGGCTGACGCTCTATCCATTGAGCCAAACCAGCTAGGGTTCAAGTGACTTTTTAATTGAGCTGAATATGTGAAAATATTTGCGATTTGCTCTGTATTTCTTAAGCTCAGTCTTTCACCTGAGGCATTTTATATCTAACTAGAGGCCCAGTGCACGAAATTCATGCACTGGGGGCAGGGTTCCTCAGCTCTGCCTGCTCCCTCTCGCAGTCCGGGACCCCTCGGGGGATGTAGCAGTGTGCCAAGCAACAGGCAGCCAGGGAGGAGCCCAAATTGGGGCCGGGCGCCACTCACGCTCATTCCTGCCTGCCTCACCAGCTGCCACGGAGTTGGGGAGAGGCTCCCGTTGTGGCAGCTGCGCTCCCCAGCTGTGAGCCCAGCTTCTGGCTGGGTGGTGCTCTCCCTGTGGGAGCACACTGACCACCAGGGAGCAGCTCCTATGTTGAGCGTCTGCCCCCTGGTGGTCAGTGTGCATCATAGTAACCAGTTGTTCCACTGTAACAGTCACTTAGGCTTTTATTATATAGGCTAGAGGCCCAGTGCGTGAATTTATGCACCAGTGGAGTCCTTCCACCTGGCCTGCAGGATTGGGCCGAAACTGGCTCTCCAACATCCTCCAAGAGGGTCCTGGATTGTGAGAGGGCTCAGGCCAGACCGAGGGACCCCACTGGTGTACGATCAGAGCTGACAAGGGACATGGGAGGTTGTCCAGCCAGGGAGGGACCATGGGAGGGCTCCAGGGCATGTCTGACCTTTGCTCATTCCCAATCAGCCAGACCCCAGCAGGAAGCTAACCTACCGGTTGGAGCATCTGCCCCCTGGTGGTCAGTGCACGTCATAGCAAGCAGTTCAGTGGCCCTAGCATGTCATTAGCATATTAGGCTTTTATTATATAGGATGACTATGAGCTAGGCTTCATTTTACATGGTAGCTGCTCAAGAAATGTGTAAAAATGAAGATTCTATTTCAACATACAGATTTGTGCAGGGTTTAAGTGTAATCTGAAATTTAGTAGATGTTAAAATATCAATTAATTGCTCTATAATTTAGCATAAAGATAAATGGCCAATAATTTAGAATCAGAAGAATCTTATTATTTGATGATAATTGATCCAGGAAAACAATCTGCTGCCAGTATTTCACTTAGTAAATAATAGACAGAAGGGAGGATTATATAGGTTTATTTCTTGAAAAATAAAACTAAAAATTATTAAAATAATGGATCATACATAATAAAATTTAAGTTACAATTAAAATTATTTGAATTAAAAAATCCTGGCATATTTCTTTTTCAACCAAATCCAATAACACTATGACATCTTTTTTCTTTAGATTTGGCTTCTTTTATAATATGGTCTTAAAGAGGACTACTCATCTTCTAATATTTAAGTCATCTAATTCTTTAAATTTCTCTCATCATCCTCCTTTTGGATTTGCATTTATTAGTTCTAACATGATTAAATTTTCATTTATTACTAGTTTCACATACATTTCTCCAGCACTATTGTTGACTGCATGAAATTTTGTATCTTTAAAATATAAACCATTTCACTTTGCAAATGATTTGTGTTGTGTTGTGTTGACACTAAGTTGTTGGCTACTTTTATAGTTAACAATCAGAAAAGACGAGGCATATTTTCTCTCATTTAAAAGTACAAAAGCCCCAGTTTTCTGAGGCCTAGCTACCATGTCATTCCAACAGTATGTGTTTCTCCTTGTATACCATAAAACTTTGTCTACCTGATTTGGAATTCTTCAAGTGTGATTATGATGTCAAAAGAGTAGTCTTCTTGCCCTAAAATCTTTGCTTAAAGTCTCTGAACAATTTAAGCTGAGGTTTAATACTATAGTTAAGAGCAGGATATTACCAGGGCTTGAGGAAGGGGGTGTAATGCTGTGTCATTTCTTAATAGGTACAGAGTTTCTATTTGGGATGATAATTCTTTGAAAATGTGGGAATGCTTACATAACATTCTGAATGTATTAATGACGATGAATTGTATACTTAAAAATGGTTTAAATAGCAAATTACTACAATTTAAAAAAAATAAAAATAGCAGAACACTATTCCTTTGCTATAGTTCTGCAAAGCCATTAACTCACTGTCCATAATTAATCCTTTGGTGGGTATTCTCAGATGCTTTTCATTTAAAATTTGACAGATTTTTACCTTCAACTAAGATATTTATTGATTTTACATTTGTTTCCCTGTTAGTTCCATATTACAAATGAATAAAGAATTGTTCAAATTTTCAAATAATTTTTACTTCTTCCACAGAGAGTGTGGCCTGCTTCTCAGCGAGATGTATTATATCTTTCTGCCATTCGAAAGATACCAGCCTTGACTGAAAATGACCCTGAAACTTGGATAGTTTGTAATTTTTCTGTGGATCATGATAGTGCTCCTGTAAGTCCATTTTATAAATGTGTACAGTTGTATAATATAAAGCTAACTATACATGCAGTACAAAAATGATAAACACATGCCAGACACACAGATACTAGAGTTGATAATTCTTAAATTTTGTGTTATTTTGGCTTCTTAGAATAATATAGCCTGTGTATTATCTGAAGAACAGTAATAATGGCTGTGAACATTTCAGCAGGTCTCTTTTCCTTTGTTTCTGAGATGAGGTGAGACAGCACTGATGGATAGTATATGCACAATACTTCTCACAGTTGCCTCTTAAGTCATGATCAACTACTGGCAAAACCTCTGGTTGCTACCTCGATTTAGCTCCATTTACTACGTAAAAGAAGGAGAGATCATTTCTGGTATCTTATCAGTTTGGCATGTGTTGTTTGATCCTTGTAAGATTTTGTTGAATATTTTGATGGGTTGAGGTTTCAGCTTACTTAGTATAGTATTATTAGACTAGTAGAGATTACAAAATACTGGGTATCTGCTATACTGCTGTTTCATTTTTATTTTTTGTTTTGGCAGCTGAACAATCGATGTGTTCGTGCCAAAATAAATATCGCTATGATTTGTCAAACCTTGGTTAGCCCACCAGAAGGAAACCAGAAGATTAGCAGGGACAACATTTTATGCAAGATTACATATGTAGCTAATGGTATGTATTTCGTTGTTTGTTTTTGCTATTTGGTAATGTGAATGTTCTTAATGTGATCTACATGATAACTAACCATTTGGACAAACACCATTACAAATGTCTTTTGAGTTTTTATCCTTTAGATTAGTAATTTTTAATTTGGAAGGATGTATATCAAACTTTCAGGAAATATACATACCTGCCTTCCACCCCAGAACTACTACTATATTAGAATTTTTGAAGCTTGGACTAGATAGGTAAATTTTAAAACTTTAGGCCAACTGACGTGGCTCAGTAGTTGAGTATCAATCTATGAACCAGGAGATCATGGTTCCATTCCTGGACAGGGCACATGGCCTGGGTACAGGCTCGATCTCCAGTGGTGGGGGGAGGCATGTAAGAGGCAGCTGATGTTTCTATCTCTCCCTCTCCCTTCCTCACTGAAATCAATAAAAATATATTTTTTAAAAAACTTTATATTAAGACCACTATCACATATCCTTGGTTTTAAGAACCATTTTAAGTATTTACCTAAAAGAATATATGTAGAATTAGAAATGTAAGCGACAGTGGGAAAGGAAATTAGCAGTTCTTTTTTTTTTCTTTTTCTTCTGTTTAGCAGTTCTTTTTCTTATTGTCAGGCTTGCTCATTTTTTTCATCACTGATTGGTCCCTAATCTTTATTAGTTGCTACTTACGTGTTTGTTTTATATTGACCTGCTGCTGGACAGCCCTGTTGCTTTCGTTCCTTATTACTAAACCCATTTCCTACTTGTAGTAGTTACTGAAATCCAAATCCTCATACCGTCTTTATACAGCACCATAACTGCTAGTGTTCTTTAAAGAGATAGTTATGCCTGAGTAAGTTATTATCCCATACTAGAGGCCTGGTGCACAAAATTTATGCACTCAGGGGGAGGGGGGACGGAGAGGAAGGTCCCTAAGCCCAAATTGCGAGAGGGCGCAGGCCAGGCCGAAGGACCCCACTGGTGCACGATCGGGGCCGGGGAGGGGTGCAGGAGGTTGGCCAGTGGGGTAGGTACCACGGTAGGACTCCAGGCATGTTTGGCCTGTCTCGCTCAGTCCCGATCAGCCAGACCCCAGCAGCAAGCTAACCCACCAGTCAGAACATCTGTCCCCTGGTGGTCAGTGCACATCATTGCAACTGATCGACTGTCTACCCCCTGGTGGTCATGCACGAGCAGTTGAGTGGCCTTAGCATATCATTAGCATATTACACTTTGATTGGTTGAATGGAAGACTATACAACCAGACGCTTAGCATATTAGGCTTTTATTATATAGGATAATAAAAGGCTAATATGCAAATCGACGGAACAGTGGAACGACCGGTTGCTATGACCACACTGACCACCGGGGGCAGACACTCAAAGCAGGAGCTGCCCCCCTGGTGGTCAGTGCGCTCCCAGAGGGGGAGCACTGCTCAGCCAGAAGCCGGGCTGACGGCTGGCAAGCACAGAGGTAGTGGTGGGAACCTCCACAGCAGGCAGACATCCCCTGAGGGCTCCCAGACTACGAGAGGGTTCAGGCTGGGCTGAGGTACCCCTCTCCCCTTGAGTGCATGAATTTTTGTGCACTGGGCCCTCTAGTCTATATATATAATAGCCTAATATGCATAGTGTCCCCTCAGGAGTTCAACTGACCGGGAGTCCCATCGCCAGCTATGACATGCGCTTACCACCAGGGGGTGGCACAGAATGAAGGAAGGGCCCCAGCTGGCAGCCAGCAGCCACTAGGGACCCTACCCGTGCATGAATTTCATGCACTGGGCCTCTAGTTTGATTATAGTACAGTTTAATGAAAAGATCTGCCTCAACCTAAAGTGTAGCTATACTAATATTTAAATATGTTTTAGGGAAGTAAGAACAATTTAGAAAGGTAATAAATGCTTTCTTATTTGCTCTCTGTTCTTGTTTGGTAGTTAATATGAAGGATTAATGGTCAAGACTTTTAAGAGATGCCAATTGTTCCAACATCATGAGATTTTTTAAAGCATAGGAACAAAATGAGTGCTTCATGTGTATTTGGAGAATTGTATCTTAACATTTTAATTTTTCTTTAACTCGTAGTGAACCCTGGAGGATGGGCACCAGCCTCAGTGTTAAGGGCAGTGGCAAAACGGGAGTATCCAAAGTTCCTAAAACGTTTTACTTCTTACGTCCAGGAGAAAACAGCAGGAAAACCTATTTTGTTCTAGTATTAACAGGTACTGGAAGATAGATGTTATCCTTTTAAGTTTTGACTAACATGACTCTGTAGACCAGGAATGGGGAACATTTTTTCTGCCAAGGCCCATTTGGATATCAAGACATCAGTTGCAGGCCATACAAAATTATCAGCCTAAAAATTAGCCTGCTATATTTGGTCAAACATTTAATTTACTCACCCCTAATGTCTTCGCAGGACCAGACCAAATGATTTTGCGGGACTTATACGGCCCACAGGCCAGACATTCCCCACCCCTGCTGCAGATACTAAAATTTAGTTAATTGTTGAAAGTAGTTTCTGTGTTTTATGATGTTCCCAGATAAAGAGTTGTTTTTATAGCCTTAAAACTTACATTTTTATCTTTCTGTTTATGTTAAATAATATCTGCTTATTTAAAGAAATTTCAATATTATAAAACTGCAGAATTTCAAAAGTACAAATTCCCTATATCTTTCCCTTTGCAGAAATTACTATTAGGTTTGTGACATATTCTTCCAGATTTTTACATGTATGTACTTACATATATGTATTTTTAATTGTTTAAAAAATACGTTTATATTATTTTGCAGCTTGTTTTTCTACTTAATAATAAATTTTAACTATTATTCTATATAAAGATATGAGACATATACAGCCATCTCATTGTTTTAAAATGTTATATAAATGTTGCAGAATTTATTCAGTAGTCTCTATGGTAACATCTGTTTTGGTTTCATATTTTTACTGTCAAATAATGCTGCATTGAACATCTTTGTGCAAGGAGCCAGAATCTTTAATTATCTGTAAATAAGTGATGTGTTAACATGGTTCAAAAGTCAAAAGTATGAAAGGATACAGTAAAATTTATCCCCTATTCACTCAGTTTTGTCCTCCACACACAGAAAAGTGTATTAACTGATATTACTAGTTTCTTGTGTATTTTTCCACAGGTTTTTTTAATGCCTGAATAAGCAAATACAATTATAATCTTCCCACAGATACTCTTTTGTTATTGAAGAAAATGTAGCATACTATAAACATCGTTCTACATCTTGTTTTTGCACTTTATTATCTTGAAGGTTTTTACATTTCAATGGGGAGCCTCTTTTTTTAAGGCTATATAGTATCTCATTGTTTGAATGTACTCTTGCCATGTAGTTTTAATTGTATTTCTCATATTATGAATGAGTTTGAGCATCTTTGGTCCATTGGAGAACATTTGTATAATTCTGTTTCTGTGAACTCTCAATGTGTGTTAGCATTTAAATGTTTTTCTTTAAAATTTATTTTTTATCCTCACCCAAGGGTATGGTTTTTTTTGTTGGTTTTTTGGGGGGTGTTTTTTTTTTAATATATTTTTTATTGATTTTTTACAGAGAGGAAGGGAGAGAGATAGAGAGTTAGAAACATCGATGAGCAAGAAACATCGATCAGCTGCCTTCTGCACATCTCCCACTGGGGATGTGCCCGCAACCCAGGTACATGCCCTTGACTGGAATCGAACCTGGGACCCTTCAGTCTGCAGGCCGACGCTCTATCCACCAAGCCAAACCGGTTTCAGCTGTTTTTTTATTTTTATTTTTTATTTTAGAGAGGGAGGAAGGGAGAGGGAGAGCGGCAGAGAGAAACATCAATCAGTTGCCTCTTATATGCATGCACCCTGTCCAGAAATTGAGACCACAACCTGAGGATGTGTTCTGACCAGGAATCAAACCCACAACCTTCTGGTACATTGAACGATGCTCCAACCACACTGCCCAGGGCAGCATTTAAATTTTTAATAGAAGCTTGGCTGGCATGGCTCAGTGGTTGAGCGTTGATCTATGAACTAAGAGATCATGGTTTGATTCCCAGTCAGGGCATGTGCCCAGGTTGCAATCCCCAGGTGGGAAGTGTGTGCAGGAGACAGCTG